GCACCTGAGACGAGCCGTGGTGAGGAGCAGAGAGCGCGTCTCAGGTGCTGCGGTTATCACTCCGCCCAAGTAGCAGTGCTTCGCCTTCAGAGAATATAGTTCCCAGTATTTATACGGTTAAAATATGTCTGTGTCTCATGTGACTTTGTTTTTTGTACACTCTGTGACTATACAAATCACAACATGTAAATAGGAAAATGTTTGCGTTATTTTGTCACTTATTTGGATTAGTATGCTAGCTGCAACCATTTACATCCAGTCTTTGTGCTAAGCTAGGCTAGCGGTGGGTGCGTCAAACAGACTTATAGCACGCACGGAGATGAAAAAGGTATGTATGGACTTATCTAACTCTGGGGGATAAGGTGAATAGGCTAAAGTCCCAAAAAGTCGGAGTGTTCCTTTAAATTACTCTGTTGTACAGGCTATCTGTGCGTTTCAGTTCCAACAATAAGTCTTTTCTATCGAGGCTATTGCTGAAAGTCGAGTCTGTCCCGTCGTCTGGGCTGAGAGTGTCTGCTCGACAGAAGCAGTGGACACAGGGACAGTCACCGCAAAACATGACGATGTGTACAGCTGACCCATGCTCTCAGCGGGACTTTTGCCTTCAAAATCATTCGTGGCATACATTACTTTTAGTTTTGTTTTTACACGGACAGATCGCGTTAAGCTGTTTAAGGCTGAAAGGGGGATTATTTTCCAGTAGGTTTGAACCTGCTGGGGGTCGAGGAGGGAAAGAAACATTAATCTGTGGGTTGAAAAACTATTAAATCTACAGGAATATATTTTAGTTTATGCAGTTCGCTTCAGATGCGGCTAGCTATCTCTGACTACCAGTGATAGTACGCGCTCTGACCATCCAATCAAATGTAACCCAGTCATTAACTCGGGTCACTATTAATAATTAGTATTATTTTATTTATATCGATATAAAACTAATAGTAAGAAAAGAACATGAAGTAAAATTGATTTATTCTATTATAAATAATCCCAAAGAAAGAAAAAGTTCCTAAACTGATTTCTGATTGGTGAGGTGAAAGGTTAGCTCGGCCTCTCTTGTAAAGTTTTCAGAAGATCGCGTACAAGCAGAAATTAATGAGAGACACGAGAGATTACAAACAACACGAGTGAGAGCAGATGCGATTGAGTGATTTGAGTGAGAACAAACTGTTTAATAGTCCAGCAATAGATTATTAACAAGTGAGAAATAGATTTATGAGGTATTAATTTCTTTAGAAAGCTCACGCTTTAAGAGTGCGTTGTGAATCTGAACGGGACGAGAAGAAAACACACTGACATGATAGGATCAATCTTCAAATATTTTTCCTTGAGAAACTATTTTTTGTTTTTTGGTTCTCTGATTTTTATTTCTCCTTGGCCGGTTTTTTTTTTCTTGCGTTTTATTTTTCTCTTTGGTGAGTGTCTGAAAAATTGTTGTTGAGATTCCGATTTCTGTCCTGCTGTGGAGTTCCTATCCCTGGTTGGACTGGCGAGCCATCCCATCTTCTCGTATACCTGGAAACGAAGTTAAAAGAGTTGTGAAAGTTGTGAGAAAATAGTTTTCTGATTGGGTAGGAAAGAACTTCATACATTTCGTTTTAGTTTTCCTGGATTTCCTTGAAGACAAAATGAATTTTTTTTTTCTTCTTCATGGACTGAACTGTGATCATTTTTCGTGAACATTCCTACTCAGTAATTTTTTGGGGGAATTAAAAAAAAATGACATTGAACTTGAAATTGAGACACTGTGGTTGAATTTCAGAAATTGACATTGGTAATTTTTGATTATTCTTTCTTATTATCATCTTTGCAAATTTTTGCTTCAGCGAGTCGATCCAACTCTTCTGTTTCTGGTCCATAGTTTTGATTTTTTAGGATCTAGCAACTGAGCCGTGTGCTACACAATGGACGTGAAAATGTCGACGTTATTGTACGCCTGCTAGATGGCCCCGCTGCAGTCAAATCGAAATCTGATTGGCTGATTAAATCTGACTGATTATCTGATTGGTTAAAGCAACGGTTTCATTGCCATTCATTTAAGCTACAGGCGCATGCACTGTCGATTCTGAAGGCCTGATGGGGAGAACTCCCACTCACATTAAACTTCCGGGTTCTGAACTGGTTGCAGTTCCACTTTGGTTCCATATGAGGGCGCTCACAGGAGGAGTGCAGAATGAATTGAGGTCTATGGAGCTATACCCCTAAAAATCCACTTTTCTCAGGATATAATTTTTTGTCTAGTAATTTGAATGTTGTATTTGAAAGGAGATGAAAAGAAATTACACATTACTGGGTGTTAGATTTTTTAGAGTCACTTATTTGCTTTAAAAAGTCTTTTAAAATGTCAATGACGTCACACACATCGTACGACCACAGACCTGCTTTATGGCAATCCTTCAGTCACTTTGGTGCTTTCGCGCATAGACAGACGAGAAAGTCGCGCAATTTAAAAATACTACTGTTATTGTGTCACGAAATGTAGTTTTAATAGTTTTTCAGTCGACAATGTAGTTGTTTAAAGCTCAAATCTGTGGTTTATTTATAAAGATAGCGCCTATTTAAAAATGTGATCTGACGTTTTCGGAGTTGTGTGATCCAGGCTTTCACCGGGCGCTCAGCGCTCTGCACCCCGCCTGGAACAGCCTTACCTCGGCTAGAGCTTCTGACGTTTGCCGCTGGCTCTGATGTCTCTAGTCTAGTGGTTAAACATGATATATAATTCGTCTTGTGTATATCTAACGGGCGATCTTTGGTCTCATTAATCTATCATTTGTTCCCTGGCAAATCGTTTTAGCTGAGGGCAAAGTGAAGTTTCATAACTTAATATTTAGGCTATTTTAACGTTGTATTCTGCTGTATGTTTTTCTGAATCGTTTACTTTATTTCTTGTCTTGTATAACTTATACCTTTTAGGCTACTTATACTGTTATAATGTCTATTACTGAGCAATAAAACTGAAATTTAACAAAAATAGACAGGGTTGTGTCATTTTATTTTATAGGCCTACAGCCTATATTTTATATAGCCTTTTCATTACCTACTATTTTATTTGCTGTATACTGTTTGTTTATTTTATTGACTAAACTATTTACTTCTCACTTTATCTTATATTTACTATTTGCATTGCACTGTAGTTGTACCATATCGTATATTACCATAGATAAAGGATCCATCAGTTATCTTTGTTAGGCTATTGCTAAAATCGGGTCAATCACAGAAAATGCTTTTTCCACAATAAGAAAACTATCGCAGCAACGTTCCAAAGCGGCCAATAGGGCGTCAATGTATTTATTACGTCTATGCTTTTGCGCTCTGCACTTTCTTTTCTCTCGAGGCATCGACAACACAGCTGACACAGATAAATACCATGGTAAATAAATACATGTGTTAGAAGAGTTAAGTCCGTCTTAACGTTGGTCCCGCTTCGGATGCTACGATGCCATCAAGCGGTGTCTCTGGTCGTAATCAGTCCTTCACTGACCAATCAGCGTCCATTAGCAGAATGCTAGCGTGTTATGGGCAACAACAACTCAACCTGTAAGAAATCGAAAGGACATAAGTACTCGTTCATTCAACTTTCGACCTATAACCCATGTTGAACTTGCAAAACCTAGAATCAAATCTGAGATTTCTCAATGGCAATCGGGTGAAAGAGACAAATTTAGCCATCTAGCTCCATAGACTCCCATTCATTTTGCACTCGGATGATCGCCCCCCAGTGGAACTCTGGTGGAACTACAACCAAAATTCGGTACTATAGGACTTAATAGGGAGTGGCCAGGCTTTCCGTAGACGGGCTTTGCCTGAAGGCAGATTTATTTGACCCTGCTAACGCATGATGGCTGAAATATGATTGGATAAAAGCGCTAAAATAAAAAATAAATATATACTACTGGAAGCAGCGCAACCAAGAGAAAAGCTATGAAATTAAGATAATGGACTATTGGGAATAATTTAATACTCATTCATGGGAAAAATATATTCAAGTGCAAGTCAGTGATTCTGATAGTGTTTAGGCCAGCAGAGAAGGCCTTGCTGGCCCTGACCGCCCACCACTGGTTCTCATTAGTTTCTAGGGTGTCTGATTGGTTTATCTCTGTCCAGCTGTGCCTGCTTAGTGTCTTTATACTCTCTGTTCTGTTTAGTCCTCATCGGTAATTGTTTGTTACCGACGATTTAGTTAGCTACTTCATTAAAGACTGTATTTTAAATCATCTTCTTCGTTGTGTAGGTTCTACAGCCACAGATGCGTGACAACTGCAAAAATTGTTCAGGAATGGTCAACATAAATCAATGTTGTGGCCGATCAATGTATGTGGCATGTAATGCAGAAAAGCTAAAAGAAAATCTAGCAAAAAAAAAATATTTCAAATGGGTCATAACTAAACACATAAACCCCTTTGTTTTGAATTGTACCAACTGGATGGAGATTTTTAGCATGGTAATGGATATGACAATGTTAATGTATTTTGTTTACTGCTGCTGGTGTTGATTATTTCTGTTGTTGTTGCTTATTGCTGCTGCTGCTGCAGAGCAAGCACAGGGACTTGCTACTGCCAACAAACATGGACATGCTGCAACACATAAAATTACCCATTGTAGATCTATACTGCTGGAGCAGAGAAACAGTATTTTAATTCAGTTAGAACACATTACACAAGCCATTTGTGAAATTTGAAATGTGTATTTTCATTTCAGCCTTATAGTATATAGTAACATGTACAAATGATGTAAAAACTTGATTAAACACATGTACAGTATATTTATGTGAAGGTATATCCCATATATGTTCATGTGACTGTATATACAAATTATATATATATATATATATATATATATATATATAATCAAATGAAAAAACAAACAAACAGATATAGCACATTTCACATAACTTGTACCAAAAACAAAATGTGTTAATGTGCGTTCAAAAATGACCAAAGAGCTTGTTATAAACACATCACAGTAGAAGAAAAAAGCATCACAACAACATCATTTTTTTCTTATATATATAGACATACTTGGCTCTTTGTCTACACTAAGTAATGAGTTCATATTACACTACTCAGATTTTCACATTGTTAGCATATATAATGTGTAAAGTACAACTGAGTGCTCACAAACAAAATATATAGACTCAAAGGAAAAGCAAGGAAAATATTTTAGGCTTACTGCCAGAGATAATACAGAAACAATAACATGTATTTTAAAGTGGACTTTGCTTCCTTGCATTATTATGTCTGATTGATGACAGCTGTTTGTAGAAATGAGTGTGTTCACAGTCTGGTGTCGTCCTGTGTCAGAAACTTGGCCTGTTTGAGTAGTTGTATTATGGAAATCTGAGAATCTCAACATTTCTTCTGTATTCACCTTCTGTCTTTACTCTCTAAGGACCATTTGTGTGTTGCAGCGTCCACTGGAGTTGCTAACCATCTGTTTGGCATCTTTCATTTCTTGGGAACTTTCACTTTTCATCTGGTTGTTCATTTTCTCATTCTGTTGCTGGGTTGATTTTATCCTCCAAAGCACAATAAAAGACAGGCAGAAACAGACGAAGCCACCGAATATAAAGAATATCTGGAGTCCCAGGAATCTGTGAACCAAAAAAGTATTTAACAATTGTAAGTTTACCTTGCTAAAAAAACAACCTAAGTTGGTGTGATGATATATTAACCGGATAAGGCTGGTCTAGTTTAATGGTATTAGAGGGGTTTGGGGCACAAACTGGGCAGGCAGATAGATAATTGTCCAGCCTCAGCCAGACGGGGGCCTAGATAGACCAGCACAAACCAGTTAAAACCAACAAAGCTGTTTTTTTTTATAGTATGGTAAAGTATGTATATATATATATATATATATATATATATATATATAATAAAAGTCATACTAATAACTACAGTATAAGGCTCATTACTTTTCATAGCAGTGTAATTGTAAATTTTACCTGTGTCTGAAAAGGTCTAAATCGTAGTACTGACATGATGTTGTCTTATTACATTTCTTTCCCCACAGAATGCATGCAGTATCGATTGCGCGGCCATACAACACTGGTGCTGGGAGAAATGCTGTCAAGAAATAAAAGTTAATTGTTAATATATACTTGCAATTAATATAACAGTACCTCAGCGCAAAATATAATCAGTGTGACAATCTTTACCATACACACATTCATGACTAAAAAACTAAAATATTGTATTAACACACCTCTTCCTGTTAATGATGATGGCTGTTGAGTCATCAGGCTACTTTTTTTTTTAAAGATATCACTGCAACTTTCACAATACTGGGAAAGCTTGTTATATAAACAAAGACAGATAACACAAAGCTAAACAGGGCAGGTCTGAATATGCCCATAAAAAAATGTATGTCGAAACAACATCACTTTTTATTTTATCATAGTAGATAGTGTGTGCAGTCCACACTTAAACCTGTATTAACTTCATAAGCACAATGGCTTAACACACGTGTGAACTGCTGCACCAAGGCTCTGATTACTACTTGTTGCTTTTGTGTCACTTAAACTTAAAGCGCCTCTTATTAGGTTTTGGCCGTAACAAAAAATCTGACATGTCCGTTCTGCATGATTAACTTTTCTTGCTTACCGAGTACTCTAAACAGCATGAATTGAATTCCCAAGGCAAAAGACTTGTCTTCTGGAGTCACAGTCCTGAACAAAAGTCAAACAAACCATATTTAGTCAAAACATCAGTTAATAACACTTTATTTCAATAGTCCACTTTAGACATTCTACTTACTTTGCAACTACAGTACATGTCAACTTGCAGTCATTATAATTAGTAGTCAGTATTAGTAGACCGTCTGCTTAATATCTGCCAACACTTTATTTTGATGGTCCCCCAATGGACATTCACGAGTTCACACTTACAAATAAGTCAGATATAATAAAATGTATGCGTATTCGGCATGCTGTCCGAGGAGAGGGCTCCGAACTGGGTATTTGGCCCGAACCCAGAGTACTCCCCCCGAATATCCTGGCTGTGGTAGGAACAAACCAAGAGTGAGGAGTCAGGGTGGTGGAGGGTTGCTGAAAACTGTTAAGGAATGTCGCCGAGTCGACTGTGTATATATCTATAGGCTTCCTCCCATGCGGATAGACGTGGTATGCTGATTTGAACGTAATCCTTCCGAACTTTGTTAATGAAACATCATTTATATTGACTATAAGCAACTTTGCTAGTACATGTATTCTACTAAGAATAACAAAACCCCCATACGGATTGCAATTTAGCATTGTAAGACTAATCGTCATTGAGTCATTTGGTCTCCAATATTTACTAACAGCTTGAGCCAGTGCAAACCCTCTTTTGGCAGTAAAAAAAACTGTCAGGATTTACTAAAGACACACAGTGAAAACTTAGCACTGAAAAGGTGTCAGCAGGACGCCTTTAAGAAAAATTCTTACATTTTTTATAAAATTTAAGAATATTTAAATTTGAAACACACAGGGTGGTTTACTAATCGTGCTTTTCCACTGCTGGTACGGCTCGGTACGGCTCAGTACCGTTCTGGGGTGCGTTTCCCGAAAGCTTTGTTAGCCAACTATGGTCGCAAGTTCCGTCGTTACCAATAGAGTTCAATGGGAATTGCGACCAACTTGCGACCATAGTTGGCTAACGATGCTTTCGGGAAACGCACCCCTGCTCGGCTCGGCGCTGCACGGCTCGGTTCGCTTCAGCTCGGTTTGCTTTTCCACTGCAGTTGGTACCGCTTCAAAGTGGGTGGGATTATAGTCTGACCGTTATAATTTATCCGCTCCTCGGCAACCAACGAGAGGAACGTCTGCACTTTGTCCACTGACCACATTCAGCCATTCGGTATTTGCGCCATTATTTACCGCCCAAAAAAGCATGTCTTAAACCAGACGCTAATTTGTGCTGCTCTTGGTAGATTGCGTTGCTCATTATGGAAATGATTCGGCTGCATCTGTGTTCTTTAATTTGTGGGTCGTCAGTATCACATCCAGCACATTCCACTCCCATCTGCGCTTTTTTGGAATTTGTGCTCCCACGCTAGTTTGCCCTGTTCAGTAAATATGGTAAATAGTCTAATTTCCTTAGACTCCCTACTTCAAACTTCTCTAGATGGGTTCTAGGTTGGGGGAGCTGTTGTAATTTTCCCAAACCTAACCTAACAATCTACTAATACTCTAAAGAGAGTTAGTTGACATGTAGTTACCAATTAATGAGAGTAAGTTGACAGGAGTAAGTTGACATGTAGTTGCAAGTTACTTTATAGTCTTATAGTTAGTAGAATGTCTAAAGTGGACAACTGAATTAAAGTGTAACCCCCCATCAGTTTATACACAATTTTACGACATTTTGCATATGAATATGACGTCACTTCCATTTCATGAATGCCAGAGTATGAGCTCTTTGACATCTTCTTTAACATATCCATTGAGGCTTTTTCTGAAAGTAAGGGCTGTTAAAGAGCCTGTAGTCTGTTATTACGCTGATGGCAGTTTTTTCGTGATGTCGACAGGGCCTGCACAGGCAGGTTTTTCACTCTGCTAGAATGATACTATTACGTATTATAGCTGAAGGGCAGAGGTGCATGATAAATGAGCAATGTATCTGCCTTTAAAAGACAAAGTAAATGAACACATTAGTCATTGCAGAGATTAAAAGGTCAAACAGAGTTTTGTTTAAGTGCTTGCAACTTCCTTTTAATTCTATTTTAGAAACGGACACTATTCTTACAGTTACTATTCTTTTTGCAATGAAAAAAAAACTTCAGTTAATGTGAATTGCAATTTAGATTTCATGCATGATTCTTGCACTAAAGGATTTAATGTTTATAAATTGCAGTTAATGGAGTTAATTGCTCTAATAGAATTTCAATAAAAGCATTACTAGCTTTATAAAATAAAACATTTTTAGTATGCAGTAGCCTGTAGGTAGCAACTATGCAAGTATTACCCTACAACAAGCTGCAACCTGTTAAGCGAGTTCACCTCGTCACTCTTCCTTTCAGACAAAACATGTGCCATTATGTATGTTGCCATTCATTTTTAAAGTAGCAACATCAATTCCATTAATGTTCCTCACATAAATGTATTTATTTGATTTTCTAAATTTAAATGACATGACATTATCACTCACTACACCTAAAACCACCTGTCTTAAGAACATATTGCAATACTTCATTAAGAGTATCAATATAAAACACATTATACTTAAACATAAATATAAAACAATACAAAACATATTATTACACTGCTATAACCTAACACTTTTGGAAAGTCAGACCTGATTCTCATATTGTACATACCGGTAATTTTAAGTAATTGTCCTTATATTTTTTTGTAACACACCATTGATATGTCAACAAAAATGTTTTGGATTTTTAGACATTTTTCCTTACTATGTCTTAGTCAGATATTCATAAGGCCATATAGGTGAATCCTATTTTCAACCATTTTTTTATAATCATGAAGATTCTCCACTTTTTAAATCAGCAAATATTTCAACAAAAAGTGATGCTAGATGTTAACTTTCAATACAGATCATATTTACATGCTTTACACTGAAAATAAAGGGAAATACCTGAGGATCATCATAAAGGATGTAGTATGTGAAAGTGAAGCCACAAAGCATGTGATGGAAGACAGGATCATGAAGGGAATTAGGCGAGTAATACAACTATTTTTACATGGTCCTGGTGACGCAAAGCCTGGAGGACCAGTTGATGACACACATCCACAATCTGTGTAGTTCTGTGGGAGATATTAGAAGATTCAATGTCAGATTCTGAAAAGTAAAATTTAGTTTTATTTGGTTACTGATCCCATTGATTTAGAACTATTCTTGTGACCATTGCTGTTATTCTCATATTTGCAGGGAACTTTGGAACAAAGTTAGTAATTAAAGTCATAAAGTAATAAACAGGCAGCTATGTTTCTGCTGCATTATAAATGTGGCACAGATCTCAACCTATAAATCCAGCAACACTATCAAAGGAGGTTTGCCGTGATTCATTTATCTAAAGCCTATATCCATGCTTCTTGTGAGTTATCAGGAGGAAACTTTGTTTGTTTTGACAGCAATTAAAAGGAGAAAGTATGCAGGAAGTGTTTGGGCTATTTGAAAAAATATGTCATGAAACTCTTTGCCACACACACTCTTAAGTAAACATTTTACAGATTGAAAATGTCCAACAATTTGATCCAAACATGATATATTTGAGACACAGAGGTAGATTGTTTAAGGATTCTTCTGTGTTTTCCAAAAGCAAAACACATAAATAGTCTAATGACCATCCTATTGTGATCTGGACACATATTCCTACATAAACACTGTACCTTTTTCTGGCTGCTAACATGTTATTTTTATTGTGGATCTATTTTCTCAGTGGGCAGAGGCTGTTACTCTACTTGTATAGAGGTTGGTGATCATGTTTTCGGGAAGGCTGAGACAGTTATTTCCCCACTGTGTTGTTTATAGTAATGTATCTGCATCCTCATCACTGCAGTCTGCCAGCGTGTTCTACTTTCACTTCCAACAGAGTTGTCGGTGTGCACTTAAAACAAGTAATGGTCTTGGTACATTGAGCAATTGGTTGGTTTGGCCTGTCTAAATGTTTAAAGTGTTGTAGGTCTGGGAATGGTTTTTGTGTGTGTATACTGGATTACAGACTGACTGACTGACTGATGCTACAATCATTTTGGTTGATGAAAATTATGTAATATTCATCTCAATGGCAAAAAGTGTCCCAATCTACCTTTTCTTTTATGGTTTCGTGACATATGTTTTTTGATCTAATATAGGAAAACCTCCTGTATGGCATCAACTTCAGATACATTCACTTCTACGTTTTACACATCATTCTTTTTGAACATTTAAAACCTTTAAATAGTTCCTCCTAATTCTTAACCCTTTTATTTTGGTTGTCATTCACTCCCATAATGACATATGTGGTCCTGTCAGTGGCATTTATAATGTGTTCCAAAGAAGAAGAAAAATCTGTAACGAAATGAGTGTAAATGACGACAGAATGTTCTTTTTTGGGGATCATGTTAAACCTCCATTGGGTTCAGGAATTTATTACTAAAACTCCTTAAATGAGTTCAGGCCATGCACTGTTTTTTTAGAGTTCCTGCTATCAGCCCCCCTTTTTGTGCTATTAAGAAAGTACCACACAGTTCCAGTAATGGAAGTAAAAACAACTTACCAAAACTTTAACTGAATTGGATAATACTATCTTACATCCCGCATGACAGGGAGAGCGAAACTCCACTCCGTTTGAGCCACACACAGGATTGAAGGCTTCTTCAGAACAGGAACATGCATTGCTGCACTGCTGAGAGTCAAATCTGGGGAAAGAGGGCAAAAAAAAAGTAAAAATATAATGGATTTAACAGGGTGCCTTGCCACAGGATGTTAAGCATTTGAAGAGCATTAACATTTGCACATGGACATTTTACTGCTGTAAATCCATTTAAGGAATGTATGAGAAAGTGACAGTGCAGATTTCAGCCTGCAGCGCAGAACTTTGTAATGGCAAACAGCTGTCAGAGTGTTTACACAGAAAAAGATGCTGTGGTCATGCTGTTTAAACTGGAATCACAGGGCTTAATCAGTTCATATATGTTCGCAACAAGAAAATGTAGAGGAAAACTCTATTGCTCAATAGTTTTCTACTTAATTCGTAGCTAGGGTTCTATCACATTTGACTAAAGTATCAACTTTGTCTAATAAATATTTACTATATTTCTTTAGGAGAAATATAAACAGAAATAGACCATTGTTGGCAATATATAGTAAGTGTACAGAGCTATAATATGAATGCTGATGGCATAGCTCTGATTTCTCTTTCATACAGACTGTGGGGTGAGATTAATGTTTGGCCAAAATTGAGTTATGGCATGATAGCACTAAAAATGCATAATATGTAAAGCATGTAAGGACCAAACGCAACTCACACATTGATTCCAGAAATGTTTTGTGTGGGGCAGCCGATGAAGAGAAGAGGAATTGCAAACATAAAGCTAACCAAAACTGCTACCGTACACATCGCTGCTGAGGACCTGACAGTCAGACCTAACTTGCGTAGTATAACCCCTCCAGCCATTATGCCTACCATGGCTGAAGGAATATTTATGCCACCTGTGAAAGAAAAAAAGAAAAAATATATACATATTTATTATGTGGCATGCACGTAAGGGAGTCATATTTGTTAATGTTTTTCTCTATTTAATGCTTCAGGATTGACTGAGAGTTTAGGTGGGTCCCTGGTATGGTACAGGTTGAAAAACCCTGCACTAAGGTACAACACATTCCATTATTAATCCCACTGAACAATAAATAGTGAAAGATGTTACTCTCAGACAAAAAGCTTCAATCTTCCCTTGCTTATGTCCCAGGACTTTGCCTTTGAATCAGAATTTGTTAGAGTGACATACTGTATTGTGTGTGGATTAGTAGCAGTAAAGGTTTTGAACGAGTAATTTGTACCTTTGAACAATACGATATGCTTTCACTGGCCTCAAACACCCAGCGCATATTGATATATGGTTTTGGTGGAGCAAAATAATTTTTCTTGCGTGAACACCTTAAAAAAAGGCATGCTTAATGTCTTTCAATAACTCACCCATCATCATATTAGAAAAGGAGGCAGTTTGTGCAAACTGCTTCTCTATGAATTTGCCCATGAAAGTGGCAAGTCCCGCAACCATGGCAGCAAGATTCACCTGAGCCAACACTACCAACAAATAAATTGGGTTCTGCAGAGTCCTCCTGATTATTTTGGGGAAGCCTGAGGAAAGATAAGAGACACCAAACTATTTGAAAGAATCTGAAGAATATTTCTACATTAAAGCACAAAAAGAACACCCATGAAGAAAAGAACATTATATTTTGGTAGATTAATGAAACAGCATGGTTTCATGAAAACGGTATCCAAGGATCTTTAATATTTTGATAAGTCAGTGGTTATGAGTTGGTTTTGTTTTAGAACCCATATTTTACATTGGACATCAAGTGAAGTCAGCATCATTTATCCTACAGAAATCTCCTTAAAAATCAAACACTAAAATTACAATATTAATATTAACAGGAAAGTTATTTTCAGACATACTGTACAAGTTCCAAAATATTGTAGAGTTTGATCGGACGCACAACTTTTAACAACAAAACATATGGGAAAAATGTTTTCTTGCTTTGTGCAGCCCACCCATTGAGAACAAATGTGCTACGTTCATGATATACAATTGTTACAGGAACCGAACATTTGAATGATTCATTTGTAGTTGAGTTTTCACTTGATGGTCTCTTTAACACGTTCTTTTGACTATAAGTAATGTTACACCTACATGTCTATTAACTCTCATTAGAGTATCAGTAGAGTATTAGTACTGTAGACTGGTAGGGTTAGAATAAGTTGACATGAACTTGCAAAGTTACTTATATTCAGTATAATGTCTGTTATGGGAGCACCACAATAAAGATTTAGCAGATATTAAGCAGACAGTTTATTAATGCTCTAATGAGAGTTAGTTGGCATGTAGTTGCCATGTTACTTATCAACAGAATGTTCAAAAGGGACCATCAAAATAAAGTGTTACAGTAGTTGAGACAACTAAGTAATTATTTGGCTTCTAACATCTGCTTCTGAATAAGTAGGTCAAATTGCGTAGCACAACGTCTATTTGCTTCACTTAGCATGAGCAGCATTACAAATGTTCTAAAGTAGGCCATAAACCTGCTTCTTACTCACTAACCACCTAATCCAGTTTGACCAGATGCTGAATACGATGAGATTTTGTGGGTGAGTTTGTGGAATTATCTCTGAACTGGCTGTTAAAACAATGCAGACAGCATGCAAATAAACAACATTACCAGCAAGCACAAATTAATTTCCCCAGGTTGATGTTTGTCATGTGAACTTGGAAGAACTTAATTTGTGACTAATAAAATCGCTGATAGGTAAAATGGCAAACACACTTTTTAGGAACTCAGTGAGAGAAACCTCTTCCATCGAGTCAGTTCCAGGCTTCTTGTCTTCCATAATTTTCTCTGTTGATGGCTCTGCAGGCGTTTCTTCGATTTCCTGAGGAGATTGAAATCTACATTTGTTTTTGAAATACCAAATGATATGATCAAGATTGTAGAGCAAAACTCTCTGGAATATGAAGTAGCGATGCACATATTGCAAACTGGTTTACACCAGCAAACCTCAACCTGTTTAGGATTTTATGAAGCCTGTTTTTATACCAATATTTTAAAATTGGAGGTTTTTCATCCAATATTAGAACATGCTCATTTACAGAGTTCAGATAAAGAACATTTAGTGCAAGAACATTCCTGTTGAACACACACTTTGTGTTTTATGCGAGGTTAGCATGTTGAGCAAGAGGGGCAAGAACAGGCTGAGACAAGCTCCTCTTGGACTCAAGTTTCTTTCCTTGTTTGTAGTTTTTTTATTTTATATATACACCTGTTCTGTGAGAGCCAAGTGGGCTTCAGTATCAAAGCCAGAATCTTAAATGACAGCAGAAACACTCACATTCATCTGCTTTACATCAAAATTCACAAAATAATTTCCAGAATCAAAAAGGCCAAAGATGGGATTTGTGATATACATCACCTCTCTGGATATCTTCTTAGGGAAAAACAGATATGGCAAAGAAGTCAGGAGAAGGAGGGTGGCAGCTATCAAGAATCCCAACCACCAAGCTCCAACCCATCTGGGGTCATCATTTTTCAGAAGTATTTTATCTGAAAAGTGGAAATAACAGCTGATTCGTCATAGATCTCCCACATACGAGAGACATGAAGCCAAACTCACTATGATACACCAAGCAACACTGCTAAACATGTTGATTCTTGAGGTCAAACTTTCTTTTTAAAATCAGTATAGCTTGTCAAAAGGCACTCGTCTAAACATGTTTAGTACAGTTGCTAAAGTATTTAATTATAATGACATTTCATGCCGTTTAAGCGCAGTTAAGTGTGTAAATGTGACTTTACATTTATGAAAGTATAGACATGGCATATCAGACTCACCTGGAGATATCTTCTCAATATCAACAAAGAAACGAAGGAGGACAGATGACATCATGTAGCCAAATGCCGGCCCAATTACAGTAATTGCGAAAAGTATGCCTGTAAAAATAGATAAAGTTGGATTATTTCTTGAATAAACCACTGTATTTTGGGAATTGATGATTAAACAAAACTCAATATTTAATCAAACCTAGGTAGAAGGGTGAACTCCTCTTTTCTGCATAATCATCTATGTAGGAAATCCCAAAAGGTTGTATGGGGACACCGCCAATGCCCAGCAGTAACTGGCCCAGTAGAAATATTGGATACACTACAGTGCCAGTCTTCTTTGTATAGCATTTCTGATTAGATTCTTCCTCAGGGGAAATGTTCTGTGATTGGCAAAGACCCGAGCTGTTGTCTTTGGTGTCTGTGCAACAAATACAATCAGTTGTTAAGTACAACCAGTTGTTAACAAAAAAAAAAGGCAAATTTAAAAGAAAATGCTTACTCACTGCTATTGAAGCCTGTGTACTTGTACTCTCCACCAATGAAGTGAGGTAGTGCTATAAGGAACACCCCCATGCTAGCGATCATTGCTCCGATTCCAATACATCTCGGCCGATGTACGCGACTCCCAAAGAAACTCACAAACACGATGAGAACCGTGTTCCCCACCTTTCCTTAACAACAACAAAACTTACATTGCATGATCTGATATAATAGTTCAAAATTATAGTTATAATAGTAGTATTTGCATATCCAGCACTATTTCATATTAAGACTTTGTGCCTGAACTTGTAACTTTAAAAATGAAATAATTGCTAACCAGGTGCTAACAGGTGTCAGAAACAACTTGAAAAGAAGTGATTTGCCTTCAGGCCATTCATGATATCGTGTTAGCACCATTGAAAGTTAAGATTTTATCCTTGCCTCATTGAAGGCTGCTAGTAGTCCTGACATCTGACTGGAAAATCCATATCGTCTCTCAATAGTGGTTATGGAGCCCTTCAGATAACCAGATACCAGGAGCTGAGCAAGTTGTAGCATCCCATGACACAGTACAAAAAACTGAAACACAAATAAAAAAGTGATAACAATTTAAACCTTCTGTAAATATGCATAAAAACAAATCCAAAAACAGCACAAATATTTTGGAGTCACTAAGCAAAGTATCAATATAGATTTTGGCTCTGTTAGTGTTGTTATTTATTGTAAAGGTTTTGTTTTAATATTTTAATTGGTTTTACATGTTCAAGTCAAGTCAAGTTGTCTCCTTGCAAAATCAAGTTGTTTAAGTTCAAGTTCATAAGACTTTTAGCCATTTTTCACAAGTTCACACGTACATGAAATCGGATGTAGTAATTTATGCGTATTTGGCGTGCTGTCCGGGAGAGGGCTCTGAGCTTGAAATTTGACCCGAACCCAGAGTACTCCCCCTTTTACTGGGATGGAAACCAGCCGAGAGTGAGGTGATGGGGTGAAACTGTCATGGGACAGAGGTGAGGGAAGGCTATTTTTATACCGGCTTCCTCTTGTGCTGATTGGTTGATTACCTGAACGTGCTCCTCCCGAACTTTGTTACATAAAACTTAATTTAATATTCATCACTCTGATTGTTGCAGCTATTTCAGAGCATTTTGGTAATGGGATAAACATAAGAAGAAGAAAAAAAAGAACAATATAAGGATGTGCAGTGAATATAAGGAAATGAATAGCCAAATCTTTGGAGACTAGTAAAGTCAGGAAACTTAACTCAGCTACGCCTCTAATAAAATAGCGTATTGTAAAAAGAAGCTTCCATTGCTGCATGTAACATTTCCAATATCTAATACTGCTGAAATTCTACAGTGTTTGCATTGTTTTTAAAACACTTCCAAAAACAAACTACCGAAACTGTAGACTGGCAAATCATCTCACAGTGCAGGTAGATGCCCAGCGTCATGTTAAATTTATTGATTGTCACCAGTGTTAGGGGTAATGCATCACAATGTAGCATGAGTTACTTAATCGGATTACTTTTTTCAAGTAACTAGTAAAGTAAAACACTACTTAAATAACAAACAAGAGACCCGAGTTACTTTTTCAAATAGTAACACAAGTTACTTTGTTTTCCCATTTATTTGACTGACACCTCTCTTGTCCCCATTTTGAAAGAAATCGAGAGGCGATGTGTGAAATGTGTGAACATGATTCTTATTGTAGTTCTAGACTGAATTTTACTCATTTCACTTGCACAAAATGTTTCAGTATTCCTAAAATTAATAAAAACAGTGAAAAGCAAACTCAGAATATAATAATTAAATATGTTAAATATCACATATATACACTTTATGTATTTAATCTCACTTTTTTTAGCAAAAGTATTGCTACTGACCTTCAATGATCCAATTCAACCATACTAATAAGCAAAAATAATTTTAGATAAACATCACATTTGAGTGTGGTGTGGGGTGGGGGGAGGGGATTTCTGAAGCAAGAGTGTTCAACTTTCTACTCCTGCGTCCTATTCTACTGTGATGCTAAATGGCAGCACAGCTGAAAGGTTTGTTTGGAAACGTCTCGGGTTATGACTATAACCCTTGTTCCCTAAGAAGGGAACGAGACACTGCGTCGTTGAAAACGACTCTTTGGGGACGCTCCCTAAGCGTGCGCCTCTGAAGTATGAATGAAACTAATCCAATCCTGATTGGTGTTGCGTCGTGACGTAACATGTGACGGCATAACCGGATGTATAAAAACGGCGCTGATGCAAACACATACCAGCCTCGCGATGAAGCAAGACGCTCTAAGGCCTCTAGGGGCGTGGCAGGACGACGCAGTGTCTCGTTCCCTTCTCAGGGAACAAGGGTTATAGTCATAACCCGAGACGTTCCCTTTCGAGGGAACTCGCACTGCGTCGTTGAAAACGACTCTTTGGGGAACGAATGCCCACTATGCCACGCACCGGAACAAGGCCCGCCCTAGAGTGAAACTGAAACAGGCACAAAACTAGGACGAGAGCACTCGCGCACCAGGCGTACTAGGGAGGTGCAGACCATAAAACCTGATAAAGGTGTGCGGGGTAGCCCAACCGGCTGCCTCACAGATCTCCTGAAGAGGCACGCCCAGTTGGAGAGCCCTAGAGGAAGCCATGCCTCTAGTCGAGTGAGCCCTAACGGCCAAAGGTGAAGGCATATTGCGCACCTTGTAGGCCTCGGTAATAGCCTGAACAATCCAATTACTAATAGTTTGTTTGGACGCAGGGAGCCCCTTTTTAGGTGACCCAAAACACACCAACAGTTGGTCCGACATCCTCCAGGAAGAGGACCTCTCAAGGTAAATGCTCAACGCTCTGACAGGACAGAGCAAATGGAGCCTCTCTTCCTCTGCCGACACATGAGGTGGAGGATGAAAAGCCTGAAGGACTGTAGACCGTGCCGCATTAGAAGGCACCTTAGGCACATAGCCCGGTCTTGGGTTCAAAATGACCTTAACTCCGCCAGGTGCAAACTCCAAGCAAGCTGGCGTTACTGCCAGGGCTTGGAGATCTCCCACCCTCTTAAGGGAAGTAATGGCTAAGAGGAATGCCATCTTGAAAGTCAGATCCTTGGGTGACGCCGACTGAAGAGGTTCGAAGGGGGCAAGGGATAACCCCTCGAGAACCACTGCCAGGTCCCAGGAGGGAACCCTGGACCTGGTTGTCGGTCTCATCCTCCATGTACCACGGAGAAAACGTACAACCAGTTGGTGCCTCCCCAAAGGCCCATCGCCCAGTGGTGCATGGAAAGCCGCAATGGCAGCTACGTACACTTTAAGCGTGGATGGGGAGAGACCCGCAGAGAAGCGATTTTGAAGAAACTCCAGAACTGAAGCCACCGGGCAGTTAACTGGATCTAGCTCATGTTCTCTACACCAAGTGGCAAAAACATTCCACTTGAGGCCATACAATCTCCTAGTAGACGGAGCCCTAGAGTTAAGTATGGTATCAACCACCCCGTCCGATAACCCAGCATTTTAGTACTGGACCCCCTCAGGGGCCAGACCCACAGCTTCCACAACTCTGGGCGAGGGTGGAAAACTGTGCCCTCCGCCTGAGACAACAGATCCCTCCTCAGAGGAATCTGCCACGGCGAGTCTATCAGGAGTGATACGATGTCTGAAAACCATACTCGGGCCGGCCACAACGGGGCTACCAGAAGAAGACTGATGCCCTCCTGACGGACCCTCTCTAGGACTCCCGGAAGCAGAGCAACGGGGGGAAAAGCATACAGGCCAAGCCTCGGCCAAGCCTGTACCATGGCATCCAACCCCAGCGGGGCTGGATGGGTGAGGGAAAACCAAAGGGGACAGTGGGACGTCTCTTGAGACGCGAATAAATCCACTTCCATAGGTCCGAACCTCTGCCATATTAGCTTCACCACGTCTGGGTGAAGTCTCCACTCCCCGGGCCTCAGCCCCTGCCTCGATAGGATGTCTGCTCCCCGATTCTGAACCCCCGGGACATATATTGCTCTGATAGACAATATTTTCCCCTGGGACCAAAGAATAATCTGATGCGCCAATCTGGATAGAGGGCGCGATCTGAGTCCCCCTTGTCGGTTCAGATAAGCTACCACTGATGTATTGTCCGATCGTACTAGGACATGGTAACCCTTGATGTCTGGAAGGAAGCTCCTCAGAGCCCTGCACACAGCCAACATCTCCAGGCAATTTATATGCCAAGAATGATGATGGTCCTGCCACAGACCCCTGGCAAAGCGGCCGTCCATGACCGCGCCCCAGCCAGTGAGGGAGGCGTCTGTCGAAACGGTTTTCCGGCGACACGACGCTCCTAACACTGGCCCTTGGGACAGGAACCAAGGTTTCTTCCATATTAATAGAGAACGAAGGCATCTGCGCGTTACTCTGATTATACGAAATGGATTCCCCTTGGGGGAAAACCCCTTGGCTTTCAGCCACCACTGGAGGGGCCTCATATGTAGAAGGCCCAAAGGTATAATGTTGGATGCCGCTGCCATGAGGCCCAGCATCCTTTGAAACCTCTTCACAGTGATGGGCTGGCCTAGCTTTATCCCAGAAACCATTGTCAGGATGGACTCGATTCGTGCGGGAGACATGTGTGCCCGCATCGTAACCGAATTCCATACCACGCCCAAAAACGTTGTTTTCTGAGCTGGTTCCAACACGCTTTTTTTCGTGTTGAGTCTCAACCCCAATTCCTGAATGTGGCCAAGGACGACATCTCGATGCCGAACCGCCATTTCCCGAGACTGGGCCAATATGAGCCAGTCGTCGATATAATTCAGTATACGGATGCCCTGAAGTCTTAATGGAGCCAGAGCTGCATCCATACACTTCGTGAACGTGCGGGGAGAGAGTGCTAGGCCGAACGGAAGAACCCGATACTGATATGCTTCGCCCCCGAAAGCAAACCTTAGGAACCTCCTGTGACACGGAAGGATGGAGACATGAAAATAGGCGTCTTTTAGGTCTATCGTGACAAACCAGTCCTCGGACCTGATTTGATTCACAATGATGGGAATCGTAAGCATTTTGAACCTGAATCTCCTCAGAGACCGATTCAACTGCCTTAGATCCAAAATCGGCCTTAGCCCGCCATCCTTCTTTGGAACTATAAAGTATCGGCTGTAAAATCCGGACTCTCTGTCTGGTGGGGGAACAATTTCTATAGCCCCTTTGACCAGGAGAGCCTGTACTTCTTGTTCCATAACCCGAGCCTGTTCTGGAACCACTGTAGTCGGCACCACCCCTGCAAACCTGGGAGGTCGGTGACCAAACTGCAGTCTGTATCCTTTTTCTATTATATTCAGGACCCATAGAGAAATATTTGGAAGAAGGCGCCACCCCTCTACAAAATTTACTAAGGGAACCAGCCTCTCGAGACTGGCCTCGGGTGTTTCTCGAGCACTGTTCTCGACCCCTTGACACAGCGAACTGGCAGGAAGCGGACGAGAACGATTTTGTGACCATAGTCGGTGCTCTCTTGCAAGCTTTTGGGGCGAACGCCACGGTGTGCGTTCGCTGGAAATCGATGCGACCCGAAGCGTCCAAGACGGCGGGACAACATCTCTTTCCAGAGGGCTCCGTTGTGAAAACAACCTCGGTTGTTCCCTCACGGGGGGGACAGCCCTCAGAGGTCCTACCAGATTGGCTAGGACCTCTTTCCTGAAGCCCTCTTTGCCTGAATGACGGCCTTCAAGTCGCCCTTCTGGCCAGAGGATTTAGAGTGAGAACGTTTCCTCTGTTGCCAAGCTCCCTTGGAAGGGGCTCGAGAGGAAACGCTCTCCTTTTGCTCCAGGCGATGGGAGGAGCTGGCTGACGGCTGAGGCTGGCCACTTGGACCAGCCCTCCTAGACCCAGATCTAGATCGGCGAGGGAGATACTGCTGAAAAGCTGCTGACTGTTTTTTCGCCTCCTGAAACCTGTCGACAACGGTGTTTACTGCGTCGCCGAACAGGCCAGAAGACGATAACGGGGCATCCAACAATAATGATCGGTCCTTATCCTTAATACCGGACAGATTAAGCAATAGATGCCTCTCTGTGGCCACCAAAGCTGCCATGGAGCGGCCAATAGCACGGGCCGTCTCCCTAGTGGCTCGGAGAGATAAATCAGTTGCTCTTCTAAGTTCCGCAATATCTTCGGGTGTTGGGCCCTCACCCTCATCTAGGTCTTTTAGGATATCGGCCTGGTACGCCTGCAAGATTGCCATAGAGTGCAGGGACGCACCAGCCCGACCAGCCGCCATATAAGCCCTGCCCACCATCGCAGAAGTGTCCCTGCATGGTTTGCTGGGCAGCGCCGGGGCTTTAAGCGAAGATGCCGCTTCGGGAGAAAGATAGCTCGCTAAAGCTTCCTCCACCCGCGGCATCTTGCCATACCCCGACTCTCTCGCACCCACCACATTACTATAATCACATAACGTAGGTGATGAAATACGAGATGAGTGGGGCTTCTCCCAGGATCTCGAAATCTCTTTATGAAGATCCGGGAAAAAAGGCAAGCCCCGGCGCTGAGGCTGTGAGCGATGCTGCAGGAATCTCTCGTCTAACTTGCTCTGACGAGAATCATCCTGCTTATCTTGTGGCCAACTAATATTGAGTTTGGCCACAGCACGCGTCACAACCTCCACTAACTCCTCATACGCGGGAACATGAGTCGGCGAGTGTGACTCATGTTCCCCGCTCCCGATGCTGATCACATCCACTTCCTCGGAAGCGGATAGTTCAAGCACCGGGCACTCGTCATGGGCAGAAGAAGCCGCAGCGCGGGCTTCTGCATCATGAGCGAGTGTTATAGAATCCACAGATGATGAACGAGAAAGTGCCTCAGCAGTCTCGTTCTCATCTGCGAGATCCTTTTGCGATCCCCATGATCTAAGCCTCCGCGCCGCCTCAACGGACGCGGGACCTGAACCGCAAGGATCGCGAGCTTGGCCATCTTTATCAAAAACAGCCAAGCGGGAGCGCAGCACTCTCAATGGAAGTGCTTCACAATGTGTACAGGGATCACAGGCAGCTCCCTCGAGAGCTGCCTGTGCGTGCTGCACTCCCAAACGATTCACACATAATGGATGCGTGTCCCCACCCGTGATAAATCTAGGACAGGGGTGCACACATCTAGTGAATTGCTCACTCGCCATACTCTCACTTTCAAACAGACAATACAACACCAAATAAGACAGACAGTTTTCAACAGATAGCGCTTGCTGAAGAGCGAAAGCTGGTATGTGTTTGCATCAGCGCCGTTTTTATACATCCGGTTATGCCGTCACATGTTACGTCACGACGCAACACCAATCAGGATTGGATTAGTTTCATTCATACTTCAGAGGCGCACGCTTAGGGAGCGTCCCCAAAGAGTCGTTTTCAACGACGCAGTGCGAGTTCCCTCGAAAGGGAACACCGTTGTCGTGTAAATGAACGACCAGAACGCATTCAAAGTTTTCTGTTTTCAGTTGAAAACGGTGTCAGTGTAAGTTAATAACTAATGATTTTTACAATGTGAATGAATCAATCAAAAAATAACTTAAGCTAGACAATGACTTTCTTCTAGAGCTGCTGTACAGCCAAAACAATCATTGTTGCATTCATTTCCTATTATCACTGTAAAGAAGCTTTGAAACAATCTGTATTGTAAAAAGCGCTATTTAAATGAAGGTGACTTGACTTGAGCTGCTCCCTCTAATATACAAGCGTAAGTAACAAAGAAACTAAAGTAATTCAATGGAATTTGCCGCACTGACCAACAGAAAGCTGCTTGGTTTGACAGTGTGAGCTGTGCTTCATACATCACTTAACTATTGTCGATAGTCATTAGACAACGGACGTTTTTGCCTGCCAAATTTCACTGAAATTATGCTAATTTGACCACACTTTTAGAGTGTGCTGTTTTCTTCATAAATAAAATATCAAATGTTAAATATGGTTATCAAAAGATGTGTCAGTGGGTAGACTAAGCTGTAGCCTTTTTTTCTTTTAAAGGGTTAGTTCACCCAAAAGTTTAAATTCTGTCAGTAATTACTCACCCTCATGTTGTTCCAACCCCGTAGGACTTTCGTTCATCTTCGGAACACAAATTAAGATGAAATCTGAGACCTCTCTCACTCCTTCATAGGCTGCAAGGTAATTTCATCGGCCAGCCCAGAAAAGTTAGTAAAGACATCGTTAAAATAGTCCAAATGACTACAGTGGCTCAACCTTAAGTTTATCAAGCAACTACAATACTTTTTGTGCGCAAAACCCCCCCAAAATAAAGACTTTATTCAACAATTAATTTTCTTCCGCGTGGGCCTCTGAGTGAGTTCAAGAGAGCATCATGATGCATGCGCGAGAACTGAGAAGATGACGCTCACGATCATTTGAAGGGAAAGTGTGAAAGGTAAGCCATTCATTTTACGGCATTGGTAAGGCACTTTTACGTTTTCTCGTTGATTTCTCACGATTCGGACATCCAGGAAATGCACAATTTAGAACCATTTTAAACACTACATCGAGACCCATCTGCATCATCTTCTCAGTTCTTGCGCATGCGTCGTGGCGCTCTCGTGAACTCACGTCAGAGGCCCACACAGAAGAAACTTAATAGTTGAATAAAGTCGTTACTTTAGTTTTTTTTTGTGCACAAAAAGTATTCTTGTTGATAAACTTAAGGTTGGGCCACTGTAGTCACTTGGACTATTCAATCAATGTCTTTACTAACTTTTCTGGCCTGGCAGATGAAATTACCTCTCAGCCTATGAAGGAGTGAGCCAGCTCTCAGATTTCATCAAAAACGAACGAAAGTCTTACGGGGTTGGAACAACATGAGGGTGAGTAATTACAGACATAATTTTCCTTTTTGGGTGAACTAACCCTTTAAATCATATTGGTCTGGTTAATGTTATCTTTTCCTGAGGTGGGGCAAGTTGTGTCACTGGACACCTTTATTTTGAATCTTACCTTGATATTGTTAAAGAGACCCATTGATCTGCGAGGTCTCGTTGTCTCGATAGCTGTCATTTCGTGTTTTTACAAGATGCAACACATTCTGGAGAAATAAAGTCATAACTATTAAAACTATTAAACTATTAAACAAATATGGATTTCTTTACAACTTGATTTTGTATCTCTCATTTTAATCTAGAAATGTGGAAAGTTACAATCAGTTACAAGTTGTTTCCTGCAAGCTATTTAAAATGAACAGGAAATGCTTGTGTTCTGCAGCTGCTCACAAGAAAGCAGCCGATTTGTCCCCGTTTCATTCTTAGGAACTTGGAGAGCAGAACTTCATATGATGTCACTGTTGGTCAAGACTTAGGCTACTCCAAGGAGGTCTTGGCATTTGGTGCTTTGAGCTGGTTTTGATTCAGCACTTTCAATTCACTTTCAATTCAGCTCCAGAATAGAAGTATTGAGGAGAGTGTGCCTAATATCATCCATACATGTTCTATTACATAGTACACATTATTGAGTATACTCAGGATAAGAATATATGAACTGATATTAAATTGGACTTTTTTTAAAGAATACATTCATTTCTACTGTAAGTATAAAAACAAATATCTATAGCAAAATAATATATATTTCATATCCTCAACATTTCTATGTCCCCGTCTTGATAAGTCTGACTAAGAGTTGTCCTTTACTGTCCTAGATTTATTTCACAATGACACATTTCCATTAGCATGCCCAGCTGTTTGAGCAACAAGTTCATGAATTAATGAAAGTGTACTTACAGCTTGCTGAGGTTGAAGAGTTGGAGATATAGTCTAGCTACTTTCACTTTAGGAGGTTAAGTGGGCTACAACTTAAGAAGTTGCTGAGCTGGGCGGGCTTTCAGGATTGTGAAATCTCGACTAGCATTTGGATGTGATTTCATGTGAAGTGTAAAAAGAAGGTGATAGAAAGAAAGACAGACAGAAAGAAATAAAGAAAGAATAAAAAAATAATATTTTGTTTTGAAATGTATTGCTGATTAATGTGTTAGCCATACCTTTAAAAGCAAGACAAACCTCTCAAACGAGCGTCGAATCATTGATTGATCACTGACGATAGTTAACTGACTACATGCGGTAGCTACTCGTTCTGTCCTTATTCCAAACTTTTTTTTCTTGAATTTCCTAACATAACCAGCAGATGGAGACAAAGTAGTACAGTTTTAAAACCAAACTCTCTTTTATGAAATCGCCACATTTAAAACAAAATACCAATATCTTCTGATATCGGTGGAAATTCTGGAAACAATCTGCATATGAGAAAATTGCTATTAGATCACCTGATTGCATTGCTTAATCTACTTAATTTGTTCCTAAAAATATGAAAGGCAAGACACTTGGTAATACAAGACCAGTTTTAACTGGTCATTAAAATGGCATGATTACAGTAAAGTCTTTCAGGAGCTATTTTACTTATAAAGGCATCTATTAGAATGCTGCATACTTTTTTTTTAATTCAAGGTAATGCCATACATTATTCTAGCTATCTAGAACTAGGCCTTTTAGCCTACATGTTATTTTACCATGTTCATCACAAATAATAATAATAATACAAATAATAATAATAAAACAATTTTAAAGATTAACTTTATTATACCCGTTTTTCAACTGTATTCATGTTTTTCATGTTTTTTTGTTTTTGTTTGTTGTTTTTTTATATACCTGCTTTCACCTCCTCATGATTCTAAGACTTCCTCTATCCCTATACTTTCCAAATGTTTAATATTATGTCCCAGCTCATGGAAATGTCTAGCTACAGGAGATGTTATGTCTTGACGTCTAATACTTGATTTATCTTCATTCATTCGTAATTTCAATTGTCGTGATTATTTTCCAATATATCTTTTGTCAAGGACATTTTAGCATGGATCACATTGCGAGTAGTACAGGTGATACAATATTTAATGTTGTTAAAGTTGATTGATTACATTTGTTCAAATTCTGGCACACTCAGGAAACAGCTGCTTTGAATAAAAGAAGACTTTTTTTTAACAACAACCGAATTTGTCAACATATCTGATTAAAGGTTACATGATCTCTTAAAGGTAAATAATGGGTGATATTGAAATGTATCATTTAATGATTCATCAGATTATAGTATATGGCAATGTTTATGAATAATTGATTTAATTATATTGCTATTCTTGTTATATGTTAATGTGCAATTTACTGAAAAAATTCTTTGTTTACAGATAGTTTATTTTTTGTACACAAGAGGTAATTTCTGTCTAATTTATTATACTTTTCTAATGCATTACTTAACCAAATTTCTGGATAACCTCTAGATCGAAATCGTTGATAAAAAGTAATTTGGTTTGTTCATCAAATGTTTGTGTAGGCTATAACACCAGAAGTATAGAACATGATGGGTGCGTCTCAATCAGCCCCCTATATCCAGAGCTCTTGAATCAGTATATCGTGTGCACAAATCTGGGCACTGGTACCCTGGCTCACTACACATTGGGACAATGATTGCTCAATTTCCAACGACATATATGTACAAGGTCATTGTACAACAATGTAGAATGTCAACAACAGTCAGGTCCTAAATCTTTTTGATATTCTTATGGTGTTTAAACACATAGCCTTTCAACATTTCCTTTCAACAGGATTATTACATATCCTTTCAACATTTCAGCTGAATATCAATTGTCCACTATCTGTCTAGAGATGTGTGTTTATGTTGACATATAATAAAAAAAAGGTTTGTCTTTTCAAATCTTCTAGCGCGTGCCATTATATTTATTGAGTTGGCTCGTGTGTTTATGTTTCACGATTCGGGAAAGTGACACCATTCATTTCCGGAAAGGGAGCATAGTGAGCATCGAGTCTCCCTGGTATTTGTGGTGCAATGTGGGATTTTTCAGGGAGCGAACATTCCAGGGCACTGAAATAATTTTGCGATTGAGACAGCTCTTAAAATGGCCAAACTCCCTGATGGAGCCCATGACCACTGAACTAGAGTGAGATGCACCAGATGTTATAATGTTTTAATGTAAGTGCAGTATGGAACTTTTGTCTTTCTGTCGCCATCTGTGGTTGAAACATAAAATTGCAAGTGGTTTGGAGGATTTGTTTAAAAAAATATATATTTGGAACAAATCTTTCATAGTGCACCTTTAAATAACTGTCTTGTATGTGACGTACTATGTGATGTACTAAAGCCTAAACAAATTATTAAAATACTATCTTAAAAATGATTAATGTTATCTTTTTTATTTATTTATACAATAGGTGTATTTATCTTGAGCTTCTCACAATAATATAGTTCCACATGTACATAATGATTACGGAAACCCGTAAACCCTACCCCTAAACCTAACCTACCCATCACAGAAAACTTTCTGCATTTTGACATTTGGAAAAATATGTGTGTATCATATCTCATTTAGTATGATTTAAAAGCTGTTTTCCTCAGGGGACCAAAAAAATTTTGGGGATATTGGGGACACAAGGTCAAAAATGAATGGTATTACTATCTTTGTGGGGACATTTGGTCCCCACGACGTAGCGTTTACCAGGACCACACACTATAGGCCTATACATTTTTTAAACCCAACATGTACAACCTGGTTAAAGCAGGAGTTGGAATATTTAATTGGATAAGTGCATCAATATAACATGTTATATTTAACAACTCTTTACAGCTCCACAATTTTGATATCGTTTTCTTTAGTAAAACAAATTCTTATTTGAACAATTAAAGAAAAAAAATATTCTGGGAACAAGAAGAAAAAAGTAGAGAATAACTAAGACTTGATTTCCCTGTGTGGAAAGTAACTACTTGCACATTATCTACATGCAACACTTGAGGATGGTTGAATAGCACCAGAAAGCATCAACACCTGCCAAGGCAAATGGGAACTGTGAAATAAACATTCTAGGATGACAAAGGTCAATGTAAAACGTCAATTTATATAAATGATCAACTTAATATATTTGAGTAAGTTAATAATCAAAAACAAGACATTACTGCTACTCCACTCCTGACTTGTACACTGTAAAAAGATGGATGCAAATGCTACTGGGAGCTGGATGATGACAGGAAGTTAACGTGTTTACAGTATTATAGGCAAGGGGGTAATCCACCAGCCGGAAACTGAAGCTTCGCTTGGGAGCCGCCATTGTAGCAGACTATCACCTACTGTTAGCATTCCATTGACTCCCATTCATTTTGGCGTCACTTTGACAGCGAATAACTTTACATCTGAGGCGTCCAAAGACTCCATTTGTCCATTATTTATTTCTTAAGAAACAAGACAATGGATAAAAGGCTCCATTACTTTGTACGTTATGGCCCCGTAGAAGCAGTTTTTGTAAAAATAGGCTAACGATTGCGTCATAACCACGGGACTCTGTCGCACAGTAGAGAAATTACCGAATAGACAGAAGGAGAAGCTCGTAGGCAATCTTTTACTGTCTATGAGGCAATCGGGTGGACATGGAGGCTTGAAGTCAAGGGAGAAGCCCATAGATAGAGAGTTCATAAAAGCAACAGGACAAAAATATTTCAACATCAGATTTGTTTCAGATTTCAATTCAGATTTGTCTCGGCACAGCTACTAGAAGGTCAGAACGGTTGCTCATGTCACCTCTACGTCGTCAAGCTCAGTTTAAGCCTGCGCAGTGCCCTTGGCTATCAGGAAGTGAGTGCTTCTAATGGGCTTCAACTTTCTCCGTTGAAATCTATGTGGTCGCTGTGTCCATTTCTTTTACTGTCTATGATTATAGGCCTATTTCACAAAAAATGGCCGCCGAGACTGGAAGTAGGGTAAACTCTTTTCCGGTGAAAGCGCTAGCAGTTGCAGTCGGAGGACAAATGTGGAGACTAAAAGCGTCCAGACCTGTTGCCAGAGCCGGATTAACGCAAAGGCAAACTAGGCACGTGCCTAGGGCCCGATTGGCGGGATGGGGCCCAGACAGAGGGACAAAAAAAAAAAAAAAAAAAATGTACCTACAAATGTCCTATCTACAATTTATTTCAATATTTATTAATTAACTAAAAATAGTGACGATGTTTATCTTAACCATAGACTGTTACATTACGTCACAT